ATACTATAATATACTATAATATAATATACTACAATATAACTGAGTCAGCTAAGGCGCGGCTTATCCGCATCAGCTCTGCCAACGGGCCATCCTCGTCCGGACTGGCCCTTGCAGGCAACACTTTCGGGTTGTTGTCAAAATTATGGTCCCTTTTGGGGTACCCTAAATAATAGGTGCCGTACTATAATAAGGACCCAAAAAGGGACCATAATTTTGACAACCACCCACTTTCGTGTCGTTGTTTCCAGCCGCCCAGCTGACCAAGTCGCACCGCAGGGAGTTCGTTCGAACTAGAGTTGAGCTTCATGGAGAATCAAGGTAAGTGGCACCCTCCTTTGCAGCCAGGACAACCACAACTGCCAAACTTTCGGATTGTGCACTTGGGACCTGATTACAACACTGTATGAATGCAGGGGTCCGGATTGAAAATCAAAGGTAAGAGATTCGATCCAGTCGTCGGCCTGCAGCATGAAGCCCCACTCGCTGACTAACCTGGGGATTTACCTGCCCCCAAAGCCCGAAACCCTAAAACTCATAGTCTGAGAGCTACGGGCGGGGACCGAAGCGCAGCTTTCAGGCGGATTCGGCTGATGTCATGAGATCTACCCGGATCTAGCCAGTGTGCCCCCTCTGATTAAGGCAGATGTCCGTGGATCTTCTTGAACAACTTGGTCATACCAGCCCAGCTTGCCAAAGAGGGGCGTAACTACCTCGACAAAGCAACAGACTGCGCATGTCCATGTGACCGAAGACAAGGACTCAGGGAACTTCAACAGATGAGACCGGAGGACGTGCCACGGGCTGCCACGAGCGCAGCATGGAAGAGCAATCACGCAACAGATGGCAACGTGAGAATACCTTAGGCAATTCATCGTCATCGCATGCAAGGCACATGCGCCTTTACAATCGACAAGTATCACTTTGGGAAAAGCCGCCTTTATGATCACCAGAAAGGACGCCTTGATGTAGAGATGAAGAAGCAAGAACAGCGAAGAACAACTGATTAAGACGAGTCGTGGGTCGGTGGTCAGGACGATCATGCCGATGCCGACGGCGACAACATGCGACAACCACGACCATCACAACAGCCGTGAGGCAGCTGCGACCCAACACCAAAAAACTAAGCAGCAGCAGCTCTCAGGATCATCTTCGGGTACGGTAAAGAAGTCCAACAAGGCAGTGCATACATGCCTGAGAAATTCTGAGAAATTAAGAGCAGCCAGCACGAAAGAATCACATCTTGTTCTGACAACAGGCACCTTCTCCGTCCTCCACCTCCTCAGCATCATCATCTTCGCTCTCTTCCTAGATCCCTCTTTCAACCTGTCGTCCTCACGAGCACTTCCTGCGAATCGCATACTGCCAAGGTCTGCGAAGGAGCACTGGCTCCCAACATCCCCAAGCCCAACATCATGCCCCCTTTTGGCAGTGTCTACATTAGGAAAGTATACTTGCTCAGTTGCCCGCACACGAACCGAAATCCCCAAACCGACGCGCCGCCGCTGGCAGCGAGGTGTACAGCTGCTCGGGGAGGCGGGGCAGCACTGGAGCCACCAAGGACAAGGCACTTCCTCGAGCCCCCAGCGAGTATTCGCATACTTTATACACACGTATATGGATAGACAGACAGATAGATGGATGGATGGATGGATGGATGAAGAGATGGATAGATGGACAGATGCATAGATGGATAGATGGATAGAT